CTGACCGTGTCTCAGGCCACACTGCAATCAAACTTGATCTCAAGATTAAGAAATTCCCTAAAAATCACACAACTACATGGAAAATGAACAACTGATCCTGAGTGACTTTTGGGTAAATAAGGTAGAAATCAAGAACTTTTTGGAAACTAATAAGAACAAAGAGACAATGTACCAGAATCTCTGGGACACAGCTAAAGCAGTGTTAAAAGGGAAATTTATAGTACTAAATGCCCATAGTAAAAAGCTAGAAAGATCCCAAGTCAACAGTCTAAAATTTCAACTAAAAGAAGTAGAGAACCAAGAGCAAACAAACCCCAAAGGTAGTAGGAGACAGGAATAACCAAGGCGAAAGTGGAAGTGATAGAAATAAACACGTAAAAAGCCCTTCAGAAAATCAATGAATCCAGGAGCTGGTTTTTTTGAAACAATTAATAAAACAGACTGCAGCTACACTAATAAAGAAGAAAAAACAATCAAATGAATACAATCAGAAATGATAAGGGGGATATCACCACTGACCCCACAGAAGTACAAACTCACAGCCAATATCATACTGGGATGGAGGGAGGGAGGGCATCAAGAAGAAAAGCTAATGGACGCTGGGCTTAATACCTAGGTGATGGGATGATCTGTGCAGCAAACCAGCATGGCACTTGTTTACCTATGCAATACACATGAACATCCTGCACATGGTCCCCTGAATTTAAAATAAAAGTTGAAGAAAAAAAGATACTTAGCTACAAAGATATGAATCACATATATGTTTAGAGTTATGAAAAACTGAAAATAAACAGTTAACTGTACGAGAATGATTAAATTGTGATCCAATCATACAACGAAACAATCTACAGCCATTAAAGATTATGTTGTGGACATGCATTTATTAACATAGAAAGATGTTCTTATGCGCTCAAGAGTTAAAATTAAATTTCCAAACAGTTTGCAATATATGATTTCAAATATAATATATTTCATGTATTAACACACATGAAAGATAGATAAAAAGATGATACATTGATAAATAGATACTCCAAATATGTTCCCAATGCTATATGGGTGACTTGGTCTCATTCTTTATATATTTATATATGTTTTTAAACTTTTAAGTTCAGGGGTACAAGTGCAGGTTTGTTATTAGTGCAGCCATTGTGGAAGACAGTGTAGTGATTCCTCAAAGAACTAAAGCATAGATACCATTCTACCCAGCAATCCAATTACTGGGCATATACCCAAAGGAATAGAAATCATTCTATTACAAAGACACATGCATGTGTATGTTCACTGTAGCACTAGTCACAATAGCAAAGACATGGCGTCAACCTAAATCTAAATGCCCATCATGATAGGCTGGATAAATAAAATGTGGGGTGTATGTATTCACACACACACACACACACACACACACACACACATGCATATATACACATACCATGGAATACTATGAAGTCATAAAAAAAAGAACAAGATCATGTCTTTGCAGGGACATGGATGGAGCTGGAGGCCATTATCCTTAGCAAACTAACACAGAAACAGAAAACAAAATACCACACATTCCCACTTATAAGTGGGAGCTAAATGATGATAACATATGGGCACACAGAGGGGAACAACACACACTGGGACCTTTTGGTCTTCGGGAGGAGGGAGAGGATCAGGAAAGATAACAGACAGTACAAGGCTTAATATCTGAGTAATGAAGTAATATGTACAACAGCCTCCATGATAGATACATGTTTTCATTTCACTTGGGCAAATGCAAAGCAAAGAATTGCCGAGTCATATGGCAAATGTAGGTCAACTTTGTAAGCAACTGCCTAGTTTTTTTCTATACTGGTTTACAGTTTTACATCCCTATCAGCAGTGTATGAGGGTTGCAGTTGCTCTACAGCCTCACTAACATTTGATAATTCAATCTGTTTAATGTTAGCCATTCTACAATCTGTGTACTAGGATCTAATTGTGGTTTTAATTTCAATTTTCCTACTGAATAATGATGTTGAACATATTTTTAGACTCTTATTTGCAATTTGTCTATCTTATTTGGTGAAATGTTTGCTCAAGTTTTTTGCCCCTTTTTAAAAGTCAGTTTATTTATTTGATTCTAAAGTTTTAGTCATTTTTGCATATTTTGGATACAATCAAAGATATTGCTTCACAGTTTGTGGCTTGCCATTTTATTAAAATAATAGTGTCTTTTAGAGAACAAAATTTAATTTTGATCAAATCCAATTGATTTAAAAAAGAATCTAAAGGCAGACATTAAACACCTTATCTAAAAGTACTCTAGTGTATATCCATTTCTATTAGAAGTTGGCATATTCTTTATCACAGAGTTTTCTGAAAAAATATTTCACTCATTAATGCATTTACTCATTTTTCCTTTAGTTATTTAATGAATCTTCATTGAGAACCACTAGTGAGCCAGGAACTATACTAGGATTGAGGATATAATTTTGACCAAAATAGGCATTTTATCATTACTGTAATATAGAGCATTAATATCACTGCAACTAATTTCATCACCTACTTCCTTTGTCCCTCTGATTTAACGGTAAAGTATCAGAGAAGCACATAAATATTATATCAGTAAATGTGATTTATGTAATTCTGAATTTTGTATTCTCTTTGAAGAATGAGGCTCTTATTTTTTTACCCCCATAGTGTAGAAAATATTATGCTTGACATTCATGTACTCAAAAATTATCCCTTCACTTCACACCCCATGAAAGACCTCGTACCTGGTATTGTGAAGGACATGAGGCTGTATTAGAAAAGGATTTTGAACAAATAGCAAAAATGATAAGGGACATGTGCATAATTAATCCCAATGTAAGGCGGATAAATAAATGCTATAGAAAAGTAAATATATGGTGCTACTGGAATTCAGGGCAGTAACAGATTATTCCCCCAAACAGAATAAAGATAAGACTTTTTAGAAGAGTTGGCTTTTGAGCTGAGGCTGGAAGGATGAGAAGAATTGAGCTATAAAAATTGAGTAGATAGGAAAGGAGCCAGGGAAGGCAGCACAAATGTTTAGAAAATGTCCCTTTACATATAAATTATTTTTAAAGCAATTTTTATTATAAAATTATTGTTTATAGCCATTACTTTATATATGTGTGTGTTCAATAATTCTAATATTCCCTTTTTAAATATTAAAAGCTAAATTATCTTAATCCTATATTTTTCTTTTTTTTTTTTCTTTTCTTAGGGTCACTTAAGCCCATTTGAATCTGATCAGAAGAGAACGTCCCTCATTTTCACAAAATTATTCCCAAATTTCTCCTATTTAAATGTAGCTCTACAGAGCTGCATCAAGGAATTATTTTAGTCTCTTCTAATTGTGTTTGTAGTGTGTGGTAACTACACTTTCTATCAAGGGTTTCTGAAACTAGTTATGGAACTTTGTTATCACAATTTCATGTGCTAATGTATAATGATAAACTAACAATTTGACTGAAAATATTAGCAGATGGTCTAAATATGCAGCCAATTTGCAAACAATACTCTGTTCAGTGTCTGTAATGTGATGCAAAACTTACCCAAAGGCTAAATAACTGTGCTGTTTTCCAATATGTAATTGGGACAATTAAGATATTGCCCCAGAAACTCTTGGCTCATGATGGCTTCTCTATTTAACGTATTACAAATTAATCAATTACTCAGTGTCAACGATGGCCATTTCCATAGTGATAACTTCAGTCATGCTTAGCTTTAAGGGTATCAATTCACACTCACCTTTTTTCTAATAGCCCACAGTAGTCTCTTTAAATAAAATTTCCCTTCAATTCTTTTACTGTGCTGTCACTCAGGCCATGGAAAATCCAAATTTCTGCAATACATGTAGATTTCCTCTAATCTATAATGACTTTAAAGCTGTTTTCATCTTTGCCACTTCTCCTCACTCAAATATTACTTAAGTCCTAAAGGAGGCTTATTAAGTCTCCTTGGGTGCCAATAACGTTGGTCAATAAATGATCAATGCTATAATGATTTTATAACAATAAAGTCAATTGGCTTCTGTCAGTCACATAAATGGGAGACTCACTTAACTATCTCATAGACCTCCTGTATTTTCCTATGAAATGTATAACTTTTTATAGAAAAAAAATAAACTTGAGTGATTGAGTTTTCTAAAAATGCATTTGTTTTACACCAATTTTATTCATATTAACAAAAAATAAAAGCCAGACTTAAAAGGTTACCTTACTGTTTTGCTTCTACTTACAAACTATTCTAAAGAAGGTAAAACTATGTTAGTGAAAAACAGATAGTTGCTTTCCAGGGCCTGAGGACGAGGGAGAAGTTGACTACAAAGGGCCATGAAGAAGTATTTTTGGATGGTGAAAATGCTCTATGTCTTAATTTTGGTGGTCATTACACAGTAGTTTGCATCTGCCAAATGTATACAGCTGTATTCTAAATGGGTAAATCTTATTACATATAAATAACATTTCAATAAGTCTGATTTTAAAGAAGTAAAAAATCATATCACAAATTTTGGGTCAATCTATAGAGATATATTCAACAATCAATAAAAGATCTATCAAAGAAGCATAGGATTTCTTGATTCCCTAAGATATTTCAAGAATTTCCCTCTTTCCAGAGTAGCAAGGACATTTTATTACCTTTTACAGATAAATATGACATTTTAGGAAAAAAAAAGCCAAATTGAACAAGTGCCTTACTCTTATTGTCTTTTTTAAAAAAAATCTAAAAATAACATTATTTAGTTAAATACGAGGTTATTTAATGAGTTGATTGGTTACCATAATCATCCAGTCTCAGAGTAACACACTATTTCATTGTTTGTAGTTGCAAGATCATTATATTTTACCTCTCGCAGTCTGGTAAGCAACTTAATAATTTAGCGTGATAATGGAGAAAAAACACTACTAGAAATTCTCACATGATATAACTGACTTTGACATTCATATTCAAGAAACAAAATTGATTAGAGATAATCCTGAGAAGGATGCTTTAGACAGCAAATGCCTTACCTTTGTGTTTGGGTCGCATAGCTGTTATCATAAGCCTCATAGGTTTGGTCATCATATTCACCCCCGTAGCCATCATCATAACCCTGAGACACAAAATGGTTGAAACACCTTTTAGAAATTAATTTCATTAACTTTGTTCTGTTTTCGGTTAGCACAATTTTATACAATGTGATCTTGGTTTAATTTTTATGTTTGGTAAGTAACCATATATCAAATTTTACTAGATTAACAATTCTCACATAACCTTAAATAATACTTCATTGATCAGGTATTAATGTTTATTAATTAAACTCAGCATATCATTAAAGCAGCAATACCTACTCTAAGGCTTATTTAGCATTTTCATCAATAATAATGACTATTTAAGAAATTCAAACTTGGAGTCCCTGGGCAAGTTGGTCAAATACGAACAGCTCTGGTGTGCAGCTCCCAGCAAGACTGATGCAGAAGGTGGGTGATTTCCACATTTACAACTGAGTTACCTGGTTCATCTCACTGGGACTGGTTGAACAGTGAGTGCAGCCTCAGGAGGGTGGGCCAAAGCAGGGTGGGCTGTTGCCTCACCTGAGAAGTGCAAGGGGCCAGGGAACTCCCTCTCCTAGCCAAGGAAACTCATTAGAGGCAGCTTCCTGCACTCCAGCCTAGATACTGCATTTTTCACATTGTCTTCACAACCCACGGACCAGGAGATTCCCTCTAGTACATACACAAACACCAGGGCCCTGGGTTTCTAGCAAAAAACTGGGCGGAGGTATGAGCAAACCAAGCTAGCTGCAGGTTTTTTTAATACCCCCATGGCAAATGGAACGCCAACAAGATAGAACTCTTCACTCCCCTGGAGAGGAGGCTGAAGCCAGGGAGCCAAGTGATCTGGCTTGACAGGCCCCACCTCCACTGAGACCAGCAAGTTAAGCTCCACTGGCTTGAAATTCTTGCAGCCAGTGCAGCAGTCTGAGCTCAACCTGGGATCTTTGCGCTTGGTTGTGGGGGGAGTGTCTGCCATATCTGAGGCAGGAGCAGGTGGTTTCAACCCCACAGTATAAGCAAAGCTGCTGGGAAAACTGACTGGGCAGAGCCCAACACAGCCCGGAAGCTGCAGGCACTGTCTCATTAGATGTCCTTGCTGGGCAGGGCATTTCTGAAAAAAGGCAGCAGCCTATCAGGGATTTATAAACAAAGCCCCCACCTTCCTAGGACAGAACACCTAGGAAAAGGGACTGTGGTGGGTACAGCTTCAGCAGACCTAAACGTCCCTGCCTGGCAGCTCTGAAGAGAGCAGAAGATTTTCCAACACAGTGTTTGAGTGCTGATAACGGACAGACTGCCTCAAGTCACTCCCTGACCCCTGTGTATCCTGACTGGAAGACAGCTTCCAGTAGGGGCTGACAGACACCGCAAGGAGAGCTCTGACTGGCATCTGGAAGATAGTCCTGTGGGATGAAGCCAGCAGAGGAAGGAACAGGCAGCAATATTTGTTGTTTTGCAGACTCCACCAGTGATAACCAGGCAAGCAGGGTCTGTAGCAGACCTCCATCAAACTCCAGTAGACCCGAAGCAGAGCAGCCTATTAGAAGGAAAACTAACAGAAAGAAATAGTTTCAACATAAACAAAAAGGATGAACACTCAGAGACCTAATCCAAAGGTCACTGACCTCAAAGACCAAGGGAGATAAATCCACGAAGATGGTAAGAAACCAGCACAAAAAGGCCGGAAACTCCAAAAATCAGAACACCTCTTCTTCTTTAAGCGATCACAGCTCCTCACCAGCAAGAGAACAAAACTGGGTGGAGAATGAGTTTGATGAACTAACAGAAGCAGGCTTCAGCAGGTGGATAAAACAAACTCCTCCAAGCTAAAGGAGCATGTTCTAACCCAATGCAAGGAAGCTAAGAACCTTGAAAAAAAGTTAGATGAATTGTTAACTAGAATAACCAGTTTAGAGAAGAACATAAATGACCTGATGGAGCTTAAAAACACAGCGAGAGAACTTTGTGAAGTATATACAAGTTTTAATACCTGAATCAATCAAGAGGAAGAAAGGATATCAGAAATTGAAGATCAACTCAATGAAATAAAGAAGACAAGATTAGAGACAAAAAAGTGAAAAGAAATGAAACAGACTCCAAGAAATATGGGATTATGTTAAAAGACCAAATCTGTGTTTGATTGGTATACTTGAAAGTGAAGGGGAGAATGAAACCAAGTTAGAAACACTCTTCAGGATTTTATCCAGGAGAACTTCCACCACCTAGCAAGGCAGGGCAACATTCAAATTAAGGAAGTACAAAGAACACCACAAAGACACGACTTGAGCAACCCCAAGATACATAATCGTCAGATTCACCAAGGTTGAGATGAAGGAAAAAATGCTAAAGGGCAGCCAGAGAGAAAGGTCAGGATACCCGCAAAGGGAAGGCCATCAGACTCACAGCGGATCTCTCTGCAGAAACCCTATAAGCCAAGAGAGAGTGGGAGCCAATATTCAACACGCTTAAAGAAAAGAATTTTCAACCCAGAAATTCATATGCAGCCAAACTAAGCTTCATAAGCAAAGGAGAAATAGAATTCTTTACAGACAAGCAAGTGTTGAGAGATTTTGTCACCATAGGCCTGTCTTACAAGAGCTCCTGAAAGAAGCACCAAACATGGAAAGGAAAAACTGGTTCAGCTACTACAAAAACATACCAAACTGTAAATACCATCAATGCTAGGAAGAAACTGCATGAACTAATGGGCAAAATAATGCCAGCTAGCATGATAATGGCAGGATCAAATTCACACATAACAATATTAACCTTAAATGTAAATGGGCTAAATGCCCCAATTAAAAGACACAGACTGGCAAATGGATAAAGAGTCAAGACCCATCCGCATGCTGTATTTAAGAGACCCATCTCACATGCAAAGACACATATAGTCTCAAAGTAAAGGGATGGAGGAAGATTTACCAAGCAAATGGAAAGCAAAAAAAAGCAGGGGTTGCAATCCTAGTCTCTGATAAAACAGACTTTAAGCAATAAAAGATCAAAAGAGACAAGAAAAGGCATTACATAATGATAAAGGGATCAATGCAACAAGAAGGGCTAACTTTCCTAAATATATATGCACCCAATGCAAGAGCATGCAGATTCGTAGAGCAAGTTCTTGGAGAATTACAAAAAGACTTATACTTCCACACAATAATAGTGGGAGACTTTAACCCTACTGTCAATATTAGATCAACAAAACAGAAAACTAACAAGGATAAACAGGACTTAAATTCATGTCTAGACCAAGCAGACCTAATAGACATCTACAGAACCCTCCACCCCAAATCCACAGAATATACATTCCTCTCAGCACCACACTGCACTTATTCTAAAACTGACCACATAATGGGAAGTAAAACACTCCTCAGCAAATGCAAAGGATGGAAATCATACCAAGCCGTCTCTCAGACCACAGTGTAATCAAATTAGAACACACTGTTAAGAGACACACTCAAAGCTGCACAACTACATGGACACTGAACAGCCTGCTCCTGAATGACAACTGAATAAACAACGAAATGAAGGCAGAAATAAAGATGTTCTTTGAAATCAATGACAACGAAGACACAATGTACCAGAATGTCTGGGACATATTTAAAGCAGTGTATGGAGGGAAATTTATAACACTAAATGCCCAAAGGAGAAAGCAGGAGAGATCGAAAATTGACACCCTAATGTCACAATTAAAAGTACTAGAGAAGAAGAACAAACAAATTCTAAAACCAGCAGAAGATGAGAAATAACTAACTTTGGAACAGGACTAAAGGAGATAGAGACACAAAAAAAATCAGTGAATCCAAAAGCTGGTTTTTTGAAAAGATCGCCAAAATAGATAGAACACTAGCCAGACTAATAAAGAAGAAAAGAGAGAAGAATCAAATAGATTCAATAAAAAAATGATAAAGGCAATATCACCTCCAATCCCATAGAAATACAAACTACCATCAGAGAATACCATAAAGATCTTTATGCAAATAAAACAGAAAATCTAGAAGAAATGGATAAATTCCTGGACATTTAAACCCTTCTAAGACTAAACAAGGAAGAAGTTGAATCCCTGCACAGACCAATAACAAGGTCTGAAAATGAAGCAGCAATTAATAGCCTACGAACCAAAAATGTCCAGGACCAGATGGTTTCACAGCTGAATTCTACCAAAGGTACAAAGAGGAACTGGTACCATTCCTTCTGAAACTATGCCAAACAATAGAAAAAGAGGGGACCCTCCCTAACTCATTTTATGAGGCCAACGTCATTCTGATACTAAAACCTGACAGAGACATAACTAAAAATGAACATTTCAGGCCAATATCCCTGATGAACATCAATGTGAAAATCCTGAATAAAACAGTGGCAAACCGAATCCAACAGCACATCCAGAGCTTATCCATTATGATCAAGTCAACTTCATTCCTGGGATGCAAGGCTGTTGATCTTCAACCATCTGATCTTCAACAAATTTGACAAAAACAAGCAATGGGAAAATGATTCCCTATTTAATAAAAGGTATTGAGAAAACTGGTTAGCCATATGCAGAAAGCTGGAACTGGATTCCTTTCTTACACCTTATACAAAAATTAACTCAAGATGGATTAAAGATTTAAATGTAAGACCTAAAACCATGCAAACTCTAGAAGAAAACCTAGGCAATACCATTCAGGACATAGGCATGAGCAAAGATTTCATGCCTCAAACACCAAAAGCAATGACAACAAAAGCCAAAATAGGCAAATGGGATCTAAATAAACTAAAGAGCTTCTGCAAAGCAAAAGATACGATCATCAGAGTGAAAGGCAACCTACGGAATGGGAGAGAATTTTTGCAATCTACCAATCTGTCAAAGGGCTTATATTCAGAATCTACAAAGAACTTAAGTAAATTTACAAAAAACAAACCAACAAAAACCCATCAAAAAGTGGGGGAAGGATATAAACAGACACTTCTCAAAAGAAGACATTTATGCAGCTAGCAAATATATGAAAAAAAAAAACCTCATCATCAATAGTCATTATAGAATTGCAAATCAAAATCACATTGAGATACCATCTCACGC